GAAATAGGTCTGCATAATTTAATTTGATTTTGTTTTGAGACTTTATGTCAGATTTTTAATGAATATTTTAATGAATCAGTTATTTAGGATTTTATATTTATACTTCATATCTCATTATTTGAATCATAATCAGCATTTTCATTCCACCATTTTCAATATCTTTTAACTTGCCTCGATTTTATAAATGTGCTGTTATCATAGACTTTTTTTTTCTTTCTGAAATTTGTACTATAGTTTGTATGTTGAAGAACATATCCTGTGTTTGGCGCATATGGCCTTTAGAGGGCTTTGCGCCAGAACTCCACTACCACCACCACCATCACCACCACCACCTATTTAAATCTAAATCAGATTCATCTGCAGCACACAGCAAAGCCGAGTCTAAAATATAAAAAAAAAATCTGAGAAGTAAGTGACTAGCACAAATATTAACGACAGAGATCCTTAAAATAGGTACTACAGCGTTCAATACATTTTCTAATTCTAATTATTAAGTTTCATAAAATATCGAAATAATACACGTCCAATAAATGAAACAGCGCATAAAACTATTTTACATTGCTATTACCATAATGCCTTACTGTTTTCTTGCCTTTTGGGAATCAGGGTGACTGAGAATAAGAGTGTTCCTCCATCTGAAAAAAGCAAGCGTGTAGAATATTGCGATATGATGCAGGCTAGTGATTGGCAACATACACATTTCTGGGGGGGGGAAAGAAAAGAAACATCTCAAAACAATCCAATTAGCTTGAAGTATGGCATGGGAATTTTCCGTTTCAAGTATACAGATCATTAAATTTCCGTCACCAATGAATATTAACATCTATCACCGTGTGCTTTGCTACTATTCAGTTGGTAACCTATAAGGCACCTAAAAGTTGATTGCACCTAAAGCACCTAAAGTAATTGTGAAAACTGTGTTCATGGTCGCCTCATAAGTGCGTTTATGCTGTACTAGTAATAATCTTTATGATGAGAGCTTACACTCGATTGGACGACAATTGGAAAAGGCCGAAACCTCAGGTTGTCTGAAGCTGGCTGATCGTGTCGAGCAATAGGCCGAACACGGCCGTACGAAAGAGCAGACAGCAGTCGTTACCGCAAAGTACGTAGCGATGAAATGAAAGCTTAGGCAAAGGGGATAAGCAAAGGGGCACAAATGATTGATTGATTTTGTGACAAACCCAAATTAATTAAACAGTGCTCTGTAGAATCTTCCATACCATTCGTAGAACCTTCCACAATTTCACAACGCTTGGATAAGACAGGATACAATCAGGTTAACGTTTAAGGCGCCTTTCATTATCCCTTAAATATCAACAACTTAAACTTATCAACAGCATTTAAAATGGTATATACCGTAGTGCTGATATTTGATAGAAAACTGGTCTTTCGCTCGTGACGGAATATCATATTTGGTAGGTCATATATTTGGTCATATGTTTGGTAGCATATTTGGTTGGCAACTGGTCTTTAGTAGTGAAGCAGATAATAATCTCGTTCAAACACAGAAGAGATAAGCCCAGTGTTCCAAAACATATATTTGTTATAAGCTGCGAAAAAAGAAACCAATGGGCCAGTTCTATATCTCCCGTTCTACTTGGCCGATTGACGAAATTCAAGTTGCGTTTTCCATGTCTCGAAAACGCCCCTTAGGCTATGTATTAGATTTCTATATAGCGTTATTCTGATATAGGTATTTTGACACGAAATCGGACTTTTTCGGAAATGACAAGCCAATTTTTTTCCGTATTTCGATTCTACGAATCAAATTATGCCAAACTGCTAAGTGTTTTAAATGCAGTTTTAAAACATTTGGTTTCAAAATTTTAGCTCCTCAATGTTAATTAAATTTTGTATATCTTTATTAATCTTTATTAAACGTATTTGATTCTTCTTTTCATATTTAGAAATTTAGGTTTACACGAAATAAAATTCGTCCCTTTTTATGATTTGTTTTTAAATTTGTATTTTTAAATAAATTTTATAAATTTTTCGAAAAAAATGCGAATTATGATCTATAAAACTTTTACCTTCATCTTAAAGTAGCTGTATTTCTAAGGATATCTGCAAAAAATTAGAGATATTTTTTTTGAAAATTTCCGAAGCTATATGTGTATATATATATTGCCGCGTTTAAATGTGGTTTAAGCACTTTGTTAAAATTGTCTGAAAGTAGGAAGGCTGTGACTTTTTTCCGCTTAAGCACAATGTAAAAATGGAAAGGAAAATAGGTTGGCATATATCAAGAGTTCGCCAAATGAATTATTCTTAGCGCAAATTTCTTAGCAAAAATTCTTAGCAAATGAGCCAAGGTAAATTTTTGAATTTCTCCGCAAATTTCGCACTATATTGTACAAAATTTAATATTTAGGCATAATTTGAGTCGTAGAATCGAAATATGGAAAATACTGGCAAGCCATTTCAGAAAAAGTCTGATTTTGTGTTAAAATACCTATGTTCGAACACTGCTATATATAAATCTAGTATCTAATTTAAATCGCGGTTTGGAGACATGAAAAATGCAATTTTAATTTCGTCAATCGGCCCAATAGGACGGGAGACTGTCCCCCCTTTTTTTGCGCAGTGTAATTTTTTAAATATTTTGGAGAATTATGTTATGAATTTATCGGAATGAAATCATCGAATGCATGTACAGTCGATTACTTGAGAAATTTTGAAATGATTGCTCAAAGGTTTAAAGAAGCTTTCGTCGTCTTAAATTTCTGTGCGAGTCACAAAAGTATTTTCAGCCCCTTTACTTGATTTTACTCTGAAAACATAATACTTTCATCAGTCAATTTATAAAATAGTTTATGTTTCGCAGATAACGAAGTTTTTACTCGACGATATTTATCACACCATCAAAGGTGTAATAACTAAATTGCCTACATGCGTACTTTACACCTTTAATATCTTTAAATGGATTTTATTTTATAATTTTTGATATTACAAACTAGGTTTAAATTCAAGTTTACCGTTGTAAGTTTTAGAAAATGTTTTTTCTTGGGACGAAATATGGAATTAGAAAACTCTGAAAAAATATATTGTAGAGAGAAAAATATTCACGTTACTTGAGAAGAAATGTATGAACATTAAATTCTTTCTGGTTGTTTTCGAAACTCTTTTTCTATTCGTTTTGAACAAGGAAACTGTTCTTTGAATCTCGTGCTGTAATGAAACGTTGTGTCCCGAAACAAAAACTTGTTTGTAAGAATTCTGTTTCTTTAAGAAATGATAGCTCGCACGCTGGAAGAGATAAATGAATTTGATATTTAAGAAATGCATCTCATTTCCTATGAAGATGCAAATGTAAGATTTGATGCAAGAATTATTATAATCTTATTTTTTTAAAATAAATTCAACTCCCCGGTATAGTGGATTTAGAGTATTTAACGTTTTAGTGTTATCCATATGTTATTAAAATTACTGATTTCAGCTTTGCGTATACCTCTCTCACACACACACATACAAAAAAAAGTTCTATATCTCTTGTTCATATGAGCCAATTGATGAAACTTGTGTTTTTCATGTCTCAAAAGTGCGACTTATGACATATATTAGATTTTTATGTAGCATTATTTTAAAGTAGGTATTTTGACACAAAGTCGGTATCAAATCACAGGTATTTTGACACATTTAGAACACATCAAAACGTAGGTATTTTGACACAATTTGACACAAAAAGTATATAATTTTGAAATGTCATATCGATGTTTTTCATATTTTGATTCTATGATTCAAATTATGTCTAAATATTAAATGTTATAAAAATTTGGTAAGAAATGTACACAGAAATTTTAAAATTTGTTTTGGCACTTTTTTTCAGTTTGCGCCAAGAATAATTCACTTAACGAAATTCTTAATTTATGGTAACCATTTCCCTTTCCCTTTCATTGCGAAAAAGCGGAAAAAAAGGTGCTTCGCTCATTCTTTCAAATAATTTTAACAAAGTGTGAAAAGCACCGTTGGCATTATAATCGCTTATAACAAATATGCTAAATTTCAAAATGCGAAAATAATATAAATGTTTGTATCGCTTGCGAAATGTTGAATAAAAAGCTCTAGTTTTTGCAGGTATACCTAGAAATACATCTACTTTAAGGTGACAGTAAAAATGTTATAGGTCATGATTAAAAAAAATCAAAAATTATTAATAAATATTTTTTGGGATATTTAGAATTGGATCTCTGAGACTATTGAGCTGTTATGAATGTACACATGGAATATAACTTAGATGAGATAATATATTTTATGGGCATATGTGTCCCTTGATAAATTAAACATAAGAAAATAATGTAATTACATGTGATTAGGGTTAGAATAATTGTTATAAAAAATCCGAAATGTTTCAGATTTTAAATTACGTCCAAAGAGGCGTATTTTAACATTTTGTGTGTTACCTTTATCTATTTAATATCATGTTCTTTGCACTTAAACTGCTGTTTTTAAACATTTTCTGATTTTGCTGTTGAATCGAATTTAATGTGGCATAAGGCCAAGAACATGATATATAATTAATAAAGAAAACACATAAAATTTTAATAATAAAAAGACAAAAACGTTTCGTAAATCCATGTAAGTAAGGAAACTGAACTTTGATACGATGAACTTATAAAAGACTGGGGGGGGGACAGAAAAAATGTATGTCAACATTTAACACTTCTTAGCGAATTTTAAACGTATACTTCTATGCTGCTTTTAAAATATTTGTAATTTTGCTAATGAATTTTATATGGCATAAGTGAGAAGAAATGATGCTTAATAATAAAGCTGAAAAGACAAAAAGAAATTGGTTAGCAGGAGTGATTGCTACAGCAGACTGGTAAACTGCGAGCTAAACAAGAGCGTAGAAAAACTTTAACAAACCTTTTTGGGTAACCATTGAAATCTCAGCCTTTTAATATTTTTCACTGATTTAAATCACACGATAAAAAATTAGTGTAAATTTTTATCATATCATTTCAGGCAAAAAATGATCTTTGTACTACTTACCTGGAGTTACAGTAATTTCTCCTGATGATGGGCGCGTTACTATTCTTCTTCCGAACAGCTATTTTCTTTCATATACCAAACTCATAACCAAAAGAAATGGATTGCATGATAAAATGTATTTTATGAAGCAATCTGTTTTGAATTACTGCCATTGGATGAAATGAATGATCACGATTTACAACTGAAACGACAAAGATAAAAATATATTTTATCGATTTAGTAATTTCAGAGATATGATTATTTGATCGCAACTTTAATAACTAGTTTCCTTTTTGAGAAAATGTCGAAGACTACATATACAGTCAGATTAGATCTTGATTACCAAACAGCAAAAGCTTCGGTTACCAAAACCTGACAAAAATGAAATATTAGGATGAATCATGTTCGTCCTGATATTGTTAAGAAGCGCATGAGGTTATACAGTTTTATAGTTTCATTAATATTCACTGCTGATACATAATGTTACATGTATAGTATTTGTTTCATAATTTATTTCTCAAACTAGTTTGTTTTTCAATTGAAATTCGTTTCCAAAGGTTGGTTCACTGATTAATTTCAAAGCTTTAATCTTACGCTACCCGCGACGAGCTCCATGTAATATGACGTCACTCTTCGACGGGAAGTAGTTTTGGAGTCTTTTTAATAACTCTTTTTTTGTGACAATGCTATCTGTATTCTATAAGCTTTTTCTAGCTTTTATTTTGGTTTTAGATGTAAAAGGCAATAAATCTGAATTTAAGTCAAAGATCGGAATCTTCTTTCAGAGTTTAAAACAAGTCTCGGTTCCGGGTGTAAATATGTTTGTAATTGGAATCTTTTTTTTATTTTGGAACATCTGGCATCCGCGACAGTATTGGATAACTGTGAATGGAGATTGTTCTGAATTGATTTATATTTAATTTTTACGATGGATGCTTTAAAAGCTAAATGCTGTCAGTACTGAAGATTGTTTGATAGATCTTTAAACGATTTTGAGAATGATGAGAATAATGTAACTGAGAGAGAAAAAAATGACAAAATTAACTGAAAAAAATCGAAACCTCGTAAAAAAAATTGCAGGCAGGCTAATGTTAATTATAATTATACTATAAATAATTATATAATTATAATATCAGCCAGTTATTTATAATTATAATATAAATTATCCTTTTCGTATTTCTCACTAGAATGCGAATTCGCTGCGAGTATTTAAAGAGAGGTTTTTAGATTTGAGACAGAGAATGATTCTAGCATCGCGTGCGTGCTATGTGGTTAGTTTCCTGCCAGGTCTAATAGTTGTAATTATTCGGCTTTGTGTTTTCTCGCTACCGACACTTTAGTTCTGACGCTCCAGTAGAACTAGTGATCTGGCTTCTAGTAATGTTTAATGGTGTAATCTTTGACTACTGTTCCACGTTTTAAGTTAAACTGGCTGTTCTGTTTATTTTTCATCACCATGAGTTGCGGTCGTTGTGGCACAAGAGCATGCCTTTATATTCCTAATTAATTTTAAATAAAAATCTGATGTGGACACCACGGACACCGCATGACTTCCTTATACTATTAAATTATTAAATTATACATATTTTTTGCTGCATTTAATCTAAACATTTTTCCTCAAATTCCATGAGAGTTATATTTCTCATTCAATCAATTGAGTTCTCACTTCATGGAAAGGTAAGAATACATCAAAACTCAAAGTATCCTTATAGAAAATTGTAAAATACAGAAAACATATAAGGTATTTCTCCAGCCTTTCTAGCATGCCTTGATGGTGCAATGGTCAGCACGCTCGGCGTGTATTCGAGAGGTCCGTGGTTTGAGTCCCGGCAAAAGCATTACTCATTTTTCACATCTCCTGCTTAACAAAAATGTCTCTACAAACATAGAACAGCAAATATATTTAAAAACAATTACAAAACAATTTGTACAGCTAAAATTAGAATTTCTACTCAAAAACAAGCAATTCGACCAGTGCGCAAGGCGTATTTTTCCGTTCACAAAATGGAAAATTTAATTTTGGTCTCATTCGGGAAAAAAGACACTGAAGTTGATGAAGAAACTGACTTCATTCACTATTCTACTAAGAGTTTCAAATGTAAGCAAATGGCGGCTTAGTAGGCTTAGTGAAGCTTAAACAAGTTTTAAATTGTTGCTAATTCGGTAGGAATATAAGTACCACATAATTCAAACATTTTAAAGCAAAAATTGCAAAATTTACCGACATAAAAGAATAAAACATCTGAGCTCACTGAGCCAGGTAGCAGACTGCGGATATACATAGGCACTCAATTACCTATATATATGTAAGAAAAATAATATGTAAAAGATTAAATAAGCAACATGAATTTCCCTTCTGAATTCTAAAAATAGTAACCCCTCTCTGCACTGCGTCATTTCGAGATTATTCTATGTCATATGATTCTTACGTAATTATGATGATGTAAACGGAACTAAAACTCAAATAGCCATTAATAATTTTAGAGCAATATTAACTGTTCAATCAGAATACTTTGAGAACCAAAACTAACTCAGTTTGACTTCAGATTTCATCCTGAACATTACACACTTTCTTTCCACGCTTTGACCTAGCCATATTGTTGTCCGTCTGCTGCTGCTTTCTTGATACAAAGTTATCAAAAATGTAAGCCTTTTGGAACAGGCACATTTAATGTGCCGACTTGTGTGTAACCGTAACATGTTGCGGAAAATAAAACTGAAGATTTAATCTGCATTCGCCTCTGATTGAAGATTTAATCTGCAATTTCCTGGTCACTGCTTCTGAGTTTCAATATATTGTAACTGAGTCGGCAGAATACATGTCCTGTGCATTGGAATTCCAGTGGAAATGTCATCTCTTCAAATTTCCATGTGTAACGGAAATTCATAATGGATATCGAGTATCTGCAAGTCCAAAGGTGCTAGCGTCACTGAAAACGAAGTGTGCAGCCATCTTTTAAATGTTTCAGAAGAAAAAGAAAAATGTTTTAAATCATCAAAGTGTGCCTGTTCTTCACAGAGGTGTTATCCAAATTGTAGCTACGAATGTGAAAGCAAATATTTAATTAATGCTTTCATGATAATCTTCAAGATATCTTCGGCTCCGTCAATCTATGTGCGCAACCTGATATCAGCAAGTCAACTGCAGTGAATCGTTCCAAAATAAACGTATTTAAAGTGAAAACCCATTCTTCGAAATTTAATCTAATATATATGGTGATTAAAGATGTGCAACTTCGTAATTGAACAGCGATATGAAAATGTGAAAAGAAATCGAATAATAGATTTGCGGCGAGTGCTTAAAAATGAAATCTAGTGCCAGCTTTTCAAAAGTAATTCAGCGTTTGTTTATAGTAAAATGACGAATGATTTCCGAGTGCTGATGTTTCAAATCATTCCAGTGCTTTCATGGTCATCGAACTGCATATCTTGGTCCAGCTCTCATGCGAATAAATTAGGATATTTTGCAGTTATAGGATTAAATTTACACTTGAAGCAGCGACCATGAAATTGGAGGTGAAGGCAGATTAAATTTTCAGTTTCATTTTCCGCAACATGTTACGGCTACCCACAAGTCGGCACATTATATGTTCTTGTTCAAAAAAGTTTACATTTTTGATAACTTTGTAGCACGAAAGCAGCAGCAGACCGACAGCAGTGTAGCTAGGCCAAAGCGTGAAAAGAAAGTGTGTAATGGTCAGGATGAAATCTTAAGTCAAACTAAGTTAGTTTTGGTTCTCAAAGCATTCTGATTGGACAGTTAATTATTGCTCTAAAATTACTATTGGCTGGTTTAGTTCTATTTACATGATCATAATTACGTAAGAATCATATGACGTAGAATAATCTCGGAATGTCGCAGTGCAGAGAGGGGTTACTATTTTTAGAAATGAGAAGGGAAATTTACGTTGCTCATTTAATCTTTCACATGTTATTTTTCTTACACACATATATATATATATATGTATTGTTACGGATTTGGTATTTAAATAGCTAATGTTAGTAGACTTATAAATTAAAATTGTTTTATTCCCCGTTCAGTGCAGCGCGTGACGAATATTAAAGGGCAAAGCTAAGCCGGAAAATTAAAAATACAAGAGCACATGCATTTAACATTTAATAAATAAATAAATATCTGTTTTTGATTTCGTGAAAGTTCCAGAAAATTCTCACGCGCGATTTAAAATCTTATAAAAACGGGGAAAATTTCTCAGTTCAGTAGTTCATATATATCTTACGCTTTGCAGAGTGGCAAACTAACAGTCTACTGGGAGTTCTAAACGTACGCTGTTGTCAAAAATTTTTGTGTCTATAAATAAGTCATTGATTTGCAAAACCGAAAAACAAAAATGTCCTTTTATAGAACACCACTCGATAGTTCTGATGAAGAGGACTACCGAAGCGAGCGTTCGTCCAAAACCAACAAGACCTATCCATTGAAGAAAAGTATTTCATCCTTATGGCCAAAGAAAAGAAAAGTAAAGCGAAAAAGGCGAAAACTATGTCAGATACGGAAAGCGAACAACCAAGTAAGAAGAAAGATGTTAAACCTGGTAAAGAAAAAAGAGACATTCAAACACCGAATGAGAAAGCTACTGATGAACAGACACCAGAGATTTATCAATGGGAAATGATGAGGACATCCCAAAATTCAAGTCATGTTCTGAAGAAGAAATCCGGGACCAGATTGCGAAATTTGGATTTGACGTAATTTGCAATTACTTTCATAAAAGAATTCATAAAAGAACTAAGGGTGAGATGGATTTAGAGACATTCACGAAAAAATTTTATCCATCGGGCAGATAATTGAAAGAGGAACAGAGAGCAGGGAACAAGAACGGATTTCTCCTAAGAAAACCGCGAAAGTATCAGGAAACGAAGCTGCAATGGAAGCTACGACGGAAAATCGATTTGAGCATCTAAGTGAAGTAGAAGATATGGAAGAAGAAGGACGAGCCGAAAAAGAGGAAACCCCACCCCCAATAGTTTTCCAGCAAAGCGAAGTGGTGGATTGGCCCTAAAATTCATGAAATCCTTATCAAGACCTGCAGTGAAGAATTCGAAGCCGATATGAAAATGAAACTACTATATGTTAATTTAAAGTCAGTAGACGATTACAAAAGCAACTCTCTGGTTTTCAGAAAAGAAATATACCATTTCATACTTTCCAGTTACTCAGCGAAAACCTATTAACGTTGTTCT